GTGTGTGTGTGTGTGTGTGTGTGTGTGTGTGTGTGTGTGTGTGTGTGTGTGTGTGTGTGTGTGTGTGTGTGTGTGTGTGTGTGTGTGTGTGTGTGTGTGTGTGTGTGTGTGTGTGTGTGTGTGATGTGAAAGAAGGGCGGTCACAACGAAATATCATGCTCGCCTCTGTTCCTCCTCCTTTTCTTACACACACACACGCACACACATCCCCTACACCAGAGTACTCGCCGGAATTGAACGACAAGAGCGGGTGGCTGTACGAGATGCCGGATATGAGCGGGCGCAAGACGCTTGGCCGCCGCCTCTCCCTGCGCAAAACCAGGCCAAAGCGCGCATTCTACGTGCTGGACGCAAAGCTGCTCACGTGGTACGACGAGCCGGAGGGGAAGGAGCTCGGCTTCATGCACCTGGGCAAGGTGGCGGAGATTGCGCACGAGGCCGGCACGAGCGAGTTTGTCATGCATCTCAAGACGGGCAAGCAGCGGCACTTCAACGTGGAGTCGGTGGACCCCAACGTCACCTCGGAGGCACTGTGCACATCGTGGGTGGGGTCACTTCGCGGGGCGATTGAGGGCAGGCCGAGCGCAACCATGTCACGACAGGACAGCACAACCAGCGGGGGCGGCAGGAGCAGCAGGAACGGCACCACAGCACCCGCACCAGCAGCATCGACGACATCACCAGCAACAGCCACCGCGTCACAGCCCGCACCGCCAGCAGCTGACAGCAGCGCACCAAACGAGAGCAGCAGTCTTCCCGCTCAGGAAGTGTTTGAGGAGGAGGATGACGAGTCGTTTGGCTTCTGAGTTGTGTATGCTTATGTGTGTGTTTATGTGTGTGTGTTTATGTATGTGTGTGTGTTTATGTATGTGTGTGTGTTTATGTATGTGTGTGTGTTTATGTATGTGTGTGTTTGTGTGCCCTTGTGTCGTGTGTGCAGCACTAAAGCTTGGCGTTTACATGTGTGTTGTCTTGGGTGTGAGCGTGTGCAGCTTAGCAGATGGTCTCAGTGTTTCTCATTTTGTATCGACTCCTTCTCGTGTGTGTGGTTGTCCTTGGCTCTACTATGATAGCCTTGCTGTGGACTAGTGCCCTTGATCATTCATCTATCCTCAATATGTACCCGTGGTGTGTGTTGTGTGTTTGCGTGTTGTTTGCTGTGGTGCAATTGCATGTGTGCTTTGTCTCTTCTCCTCTCGTGGACAGACCTGCCCCTCTCCCCGATTCCACTGTGCTTGGCCAGCTGTAAGTTAAGGTGCTCGGCCCACAGCTGTCCATGAGATTTTGTTTGTGTTGTTGCTGTTTTCATGTCTCAACGACGCCGCAAGCGCCACAACCAATCAACCCTTTATGTTCTTCCATAGTACAAAACACAAGCAAGCAAGTGCACCAAGCTGTTTGTTTTGTGTGTGTGTGTGTGTGTGTGTGTGTGTGTGTGTGTGTGTGTGTGTGTGTGTGTGTGTGTGTGTTGCTCCGTGATTCATGAGGGTCTTGTGGGGGATTGATTGACTTGCTTAGAAGCGAGAGGACGAAAGGCAGAAAGAAAGCACAAAGCGCAGGCAAGAAGTAGGAAGCACGAAAGATCAACGTGACCAAAGCTCTAGCTTGGGAGCCGAAGCGAGCGAGCCTTCGATCGTAGACATGTGTAACACATGGAACACCCGAATGCTTGTTTCAACATCCACACACGCACACGCACACAGTACACACAAACGCACACAACTCAATACACGCACATGCACACAACAACACAACGCATACACACAACAACACAACGCATACACACAACAACACAACACAACACACATGCACACACATGCACACACACACACACCATGCGCGCATATCAGTTTCAGCAGCCGGTTTCGAGGATGAGGATCGCCGGGTGCGTGTCGGGGATGGCGTAGATGAGTCCGTTGCGCGCGAGTGCACCACCACTCCACTTCTGGGTGCCTGAGCCGACTTGGAAGGACGTCACGTCCACAGCGTGGGTTTCTGGGTCCAGGACAAGCGCCGCATTGGCGTAGTACGGGATGAACACCAGCTTGCCATTGCGTGCAAGCACAGCACCGTTCCATTTGTACGACGAGCTGCCTCCGAGGCCGGAGACGGAGATGGACATGTCAACGCTGTTGTCGGCTGGGTCAACCACGAGAACATACGACGCAGTGTACGGGACGCCGTAGATGAGGCCGTTGCTTGCAAGCACGGTGCCGTACCACTTGTCGCCGCCACCGAGGTTGTTGATGCTCGTGGTGTCGACCGCGTTTGTGGCTGGATCAATTATGAGCACCGACGGTGAGGTGCGAGGGAGTGCGTATATGAGGCCGTTTGCAGCAACGACGGCGTCGTACCATTTGTCTTGCTGGCTGCCAAGGTCAGCGATGGTTGTGATGTCGTAGGTGTTGGTGAAGGGGTCGATGATGATGGCGGTCGATGCAGAGCCCGGCATTCCGTAGATGAGTCCATTCGGGGCGACGGTGCCGCCATGCCACTTGTTACCCGCACTCGACAAGTCCGTCATCGTCGTGGTGTCGGCGGTGTTCGTGAAGGGATCGATGACCAGGACGGAGCGGGAGTGTCGCGGGAAGGCATAGATGAAGCCGTTGTTGGGCGCCACGACGGCGTTGCTCCACTTGGAAGAGCCACCGAGCGCGCCGATGGTCGTGAAGTCGGCGGTGTTGCTCTTGGGGTCCAGAACGAGGACGCCAGTAGAATCCTGTGGAATACCGTAGATCAGGCCGTTGCCTGCAAGCACGCCACCGTTCCATTTGTGACCTGTGCCCAGGTTGGAGATGGTGGTTGCGTCCCAGCGCGGTACCTCAAGCTTGCACACGCGAGCGTCCAGAGCCTCAAGGGCGTCCGAAGCGTTTATGGTTGAGTGCTGCTCTTCAGCCAGCATGTCATACTGCACCTGGAGTGTGCTCAGCTGCGTGCTCATGGCGTCGCGCTCGTCCTCTGCAACTTGCACGGCCGTGGCCAAGGCGTTGAGCTTGCCGAGCACGAGCTGGTTCGTGTTTTCCTGTTCCGTCAGCATGCTCTGCTGTACCTGGACGGTCTCAAACAAGCGCACGACATCGAGCCCGTTAACGTACATGGACTGGGCGGCCGGGTCCGTGGTGTTGATGTGCAGGGAGCCCGCACTGTCCTCCATAAGCACCACCTTTGCCAGACACCCAAGCTGCCGTTGCTGCTGCGCAAGGACGACCGCAACTGTGACCACAGCAAGAGCAGTGGTGACGGCAGCTGCAACTTTTCTCAGTCGTAGACGGCACGCCGAAGAAGAGGAAGACGAAGAACCATGACGCTGCTGGGCCATGGTTTCTTGGATTGCAGGGGGGGGGGATTCGGTTTGGTGTCGCACGGGCAAGAGGAGAGGGATGAAGGGAGGGATGAAGGACTGAAAGGACTAGAAGGGAGGAAGGGAGGCTACATGCACAGGCACAGAGACAGAGGCACTGAGGCACAGGGGCAGGGGCTGCAGGGGGCTAGGGGGGGGGGGCATTGGGTCCAAGCAAGAGGGGTGTGGCAAGGGGCGAAATGCAAGAAGACAAAGAAGAGCTGCACAGGCGCGAGGAGTTGCCTCTGCCCTGAATTCAGTCGACGCCTTTCCCGTGTCCGTTGTTCGCCTGCGCAACCAACCAACAAGCAACGAACACTCCACCACATCTCTGTCCCCTCCACCTCCTCCACATCCTCAGCACGTCTACGATTGGTGCGCAGCCTCCCCCCCCCCCCTCTGTTCCGCACACCACCACAACAAACGACATGGCTGAGGACGGGTGGCACTTGGCGTGCGAGGCGACGGCGATCCCGGAGAAGAAAGGGTTCAAAGTACGCATCGAGGACCGTGACATTGCCTTGTTCCGGGACGGGGATCACGTGTTTGCCCTGGACGCGCGTTGCTACCATGCAGGTGTGTGTGTGTGTGCACGTGAGTGTGTGTGTGTGTGTGAGTGAGTGTACGCGTGAGTGTGTGTATGTGAGTGTGAGTGAGTGTACGTGTGTGTACGTGTGTGTGTGCGAGTCTGTGAGCATGTGTGAGTGAGTGAGTGTGTGTGTGTGTGTTTGTGTATGTGTGTATGTGTGTGTGTGTGTGAGGACATGGGTGCTTTGTGTTATCAATCATGCGTCAGTGTCATGGGCGCCGAATGTACCACATGCCCGATTGCCCTGTTGTGCGGATCTGTTGTGCGGCTGCTTCCACTCGCCACCCAGTCACCAACCCATGCACCCCCTACCCCATCCACCACCTGCTCCCATCAAATACACGTATGCACACAACCTAGGTGGACCGCTGCATATGGGCGACATTGAGGATGTGGCGGGGAAGACGTGCATTCGGTGTCCTTGGCACCACTACAAGTTTGCAGTGGGCACAGGCGAGTGCGTTGGCATGGGGCGAATCACCACAAACACAGGAGTCAAGCAGCGACGACATCGCGTCAAGGTGGAGGACGGCAAGGTGTTTGTCAAGGTCAACACATCGGGAGCGTTTCCATCCGACAGATACTACACACCCCAGATGGAACGCCTCTTCAGGATTCCATGAGTGTGTGTGTGTGTGAATGTGCTGTGTGTCTGTTTGTTTGTGGGGTGTGTGTGTGTTTGTTTGTGCGGGTGTGTGTGTGCATGTTTGTTTCTGTTTCTTTGTTTGCATGTCTGTGTCTGTGTGTATGCGCACGGGTGTCTTTGTTATATGTCAAGCTATAACTTGCAGACTGCTTGTTTGCAGCGCATGCTATCATTTTCTCGCTCGTTGTTTGGCTCCCACCCTTATCATTTCCTTCCTTGCTTGATTTGTGGCCTCGCGCCTGACGCATGTATTGAACACTTTGTGACTTGCTTTGATATTGCTAATCTGTGTTGTCGAGAGTTGTTGGGGTTTGTGTTAATTCAATAAGAACACACAACACACAACACACACAGAGTCATTCGCGTGTGACACGGCGATAACAACAGCACGAAAAAACAGGTCGTGGAAATGTAATGTAACACGAACAGAGCACAGGGCCAACTGATAAACAACCCACAACAGCAATAGAACAACAGCAAGGTAACAACGACACGATGCAAGAATAACACAAGGCGGGATATGCGAGTCAGAACACTCATCATCACGTCGCAAGCAGAGCAAGCGCTATTTGATCAAATCACACACAAAAACAAACAAACAAACAAACAACCAAACAAACAAAACAAACAAACTGTCTAGGCCTCCATCTCTTCATTGTTTGGCAAGAGCTTGACAATGCCATCCGACTCCGCGGTGATGACGCCAGAGCGAAGACATTCGCTCACCAGCTCGTCCAAGGTGTCAAACAGCGTGGGCTGCGACTTGCCCAGCTTGTACTTGATGCTGCCGTCCGCCTGCTGCTGCGGCGCAATCAGCATGTTCACAATCTTCGTCCCCGTCTGCAGCGACAGCGCGTAGTGGTTCGGCTTGCTCGAGTTGCGGACAAGGAACTGGCCCTTGGGCGCGTCCTGCAGCAGCTCGTCCACCTGCGCGCGTGTGAAGTTGGACCGGAACCACCACCGCGTCGAGATGTCGTCTTCATCGTCGCTCTCATCGTCGTCCTCATCCTCTTCGGCAATCGCTCCACCACGACCGCCACCACTGCTGCTGCTGCTGTTGCGTCCCCGACCGCCACCACCTCCACCACTGGTGCTGCCACGACGGCCACTTCGCTCTGCGTGCGGGGAGAACACGGCGAGCGAGTCGTCCTCCTCCTGGGGAAGTGTGTTGCTGTTGAGCGAGTAAACGGCCGTCTCGCCGCGCTGCGAGTGCAGTTTCCAGTTTCCGCTTCGGGAAAGGCGGTCTGCCTCCTGCGGAGAGGTTGCGACAGCATAAATGGGCTCCGTCTCCTTGTACACGCTCGTGCGCTGTTCGTGTGCGGGTGCCGGCGTGCGCGACAGGCGCTTTGCAAACTCAATGGTGGCCTGGTAGCAGAACTTGTACTGGTTGACGTGCTGCACCAGCGCCATCCTGTCCTCCCGCAGCTCAGCAACAATCTTGTTGATGTCAATCACCTCCCCATTCTGGTGTGTGTGTGTGTGTGTGTGTGTGTGTGTGTGTGTGTGTGTGTGTGTGTGTGTGTGTGTGTGTGTGTGTGTGTGTGTGTGTGTGTGTGTGTATGTGTGTGTGTGAGAGGGGGGGGGGGTTGTGAGCGAGCGACGTGGGTGTAATAAGTGCAAACGAAACAACGGGTGCCTCAATGGGTGACACGTGAAGACGAATCAGCTGACAGGCAGACACATGAGCACAACACAACACACATGAACACAACTCACAACACACATGAACACATGAACACAACAACCCACAACCCACAACACACAACCCACAACGCACACAACGCACCTGCAGTGCGGACATGGCGTAGTCGATGACGAGGAGCGTGCCCGTGCGCCCAATGCCGGCCGAGCAGTGGATCATTAGCGGTCCTGCGTCGTTGGTCGCCTGCCGGTGCAGTCGCACGTCACGCAGCAAGTCAATTGTGGGCCCTGTCGCCAGTGAACCATCGGCGTTGGTTGGGACATCGTGGTCTGGCCAGGCCGTGAACCAGAAATGCGTGACGTCACGCTCCTCCTGCCCAAACGTGAACTTGATGGTGCGTTTTGTGTAGAAGCCGAGGTCGTGCTTGGCCACAGTGCGCACTTTGATCAGCAGGCGCTCCGGCCCGAACGTAAACGACTCCCGGAACTGATCTGTTGTGGGTGGTTATTGTCACCATTGTCGTTGTAAAGAAGACAGGGTCAAGGCGAGGATAGTGATATGGTGTGTGATCGACAGGAAGGTGGGGCAAAACAGTGTGTGCGCCCTGTGGCAGCAGACACAAACACAGACACAGACACAGACACAGACACACGCACAGACACGTATGCACGTTTGCACGCACGCATACACACGCACACACACACACGCACGCACGCGCGCGCACACACACACAAACAAACAAACAAACACACACACAAACAAACAAATAAACAGTGCTGTGATGTGTGACCTGATGGCTCCTCGGGAAAGTAGCGTGCGCACTTGCGACGGCCGGCCTCCTCAAACCCGGTCGCCATGACAATCGTGTTGATGTTCGCGTGCCAGATGAGCCGCCAGAAGTTGTACAGCCCCGTGTCCATTGGCGCCTGCGCCGCAACATACGCACGCGCAGACCGCCCGCCGTGCCCTGACGGTTGCACGTTGGAGGATGGCGTGTGAACACAACACGAAGGGGTTTGGGTGACGTTGAGGAAGGGGGAAGCAGTTGGGAGGGGGGGGGGGGAGGGTTCTTGATCGCATGACAAAGCGGGAGAACTGATGTCGTGTGGTGCAGCCAGCGCATCGAAGAGACAACGCGCCCAACAACGACGACTAAACACACACACACACACACACACACACACACACACAAACCCATACGCACACACACACACCTCTGATGTAGTTTGCGTTGATGTATTCGAGGGTGGGGTCCTCCTGCAGTGGCGGCAGGCGAACACGCGTGGCCGGGTTGGGCAGGATGTCTCTGAAGCGGTTCAGTCGCGGGCCGGCAGCGTGCGACGGCAGCGCGGACGCATGGATCTGGTGGCGTGGCAGCTGCTTGAAGCCCTCAACGTCCATTGGCGTGACGGGCATGTTTAGGCCAAGCTCCTGCACCACATCGCGCGGGTCGCGCCTGTGTCGGTTCGACCGCCGCTGCTTACCGCTCTTCTTGCCGGGCAGTCGCAACTTGCTCGGCCTATTCTTCTCGCGCTTGGGCGGCTCAGGCGGTGTGTCACTGACTCTCCCTGTCGCAGGTGCAGGTACACTCCCTGTCGCAGGCGCCGGTGCCGTGGTGGTGATGGCGGGTGGCGTTGGAGGACCCCCGCGTGCGTTGAGGTGGGGCGATCTGCCGCCAATCACGTCTGGTGGCGGCGGCAGCAGTGGCGGGGTGGACCGGACGTCCGGTGCCGCCTTCACCAGCGGCTGCACGCGGGGCTTTGCTGGCGAGTCGTTCTTGTTTCTTCGCTGCCCACCACCCGTAGCACCAGCACGACGATTGACACCGGTGTCATCACCACCATCGTCGTCGTCATCATCGCTGCTATCGCTTCGTTCCTGCAGGTCTGGGAGTTCCGGCACGACGCGAACGGAGGATTGGGAGGTGATGGTTGCCCGGCGAACAGGCAGAGCAGGGACAGCCATACCACCAGCATCGTTGCTACCATCATCATCATTATCATCGCTGCTGCTGCTGCTGCTGCTGCTGCTGTCGTGGGCACCTCCGGCCACGATATCCTTCATGTTGTCGTAGTCCCCCGGTGCGCGGTCACCGCCACCATTAGCAGCACCGCGACTGTGCACACCGCTCACGCCAGCATTGCCCACGAGGTGCAGGTCGCTTGGTCGTGGCCGCACCCGCCGTGCACTCGCATCGAGATCGTGTGCGGGCGCAGAGTGGCGCCGGCCTGCCGCGTCTGTTTGCAGCTGCGGCACTGCTGATGGCGACGGTGCTGTGTCTGTGCTGCTGTCACCACGAGAGCCGGCTTTGCCCTTACCGCCCAACAGCCGCGAGAAGAGGCCGCGCTTCTTCTTCTTCTTCTTCGTCTTTTCGTCGTCGCCACTGTCCGTCGCTGGCCCCGCTGGCGCACCAAGCCCGCTGCCAACAGACCCCGGCTGCGACTGCTGCACGACCAAGCCGGGTTGCGACGAACCCCTCTCGGCCACCCGCCCTCGGTGCTGCTGCTGCTGCTGCTGCTGTTGTTGTGGCTGTTGTTGTGGCTGGTGGTGGTGGTGTTTCTTGTGCTGCCGCTGCTGTTGTCGGGCCATGGCGCGGGTCATGTTGAATGTCCCCGCCACGGCCTGCACGAACGACAGAGAGGCGCCGCGCGCGTCCACGAGTGGGGCGGTCGGCAGCATGCGCACCAGCTCATCCACGGTGCGGCAGGTCAGGTTGCCCAGGCGGAAGGTGCTGTTGCGGTAGGGCACTGGCAGGTGCTCAACAGCGCTTGCTGGCGTGACGACGGAGACGTAGAAGGTGGCACGGTTGTGGGTGCTCTGGTGCACGATGTAGGACCCTGGCACCATGTTTGGTTGCATCAGGAACTCGCGAACGGCCGCTCGCTCCGCTGGTCCGGCAAAGAAGTTGGACGGCGGAATCTCGGGCCTGGTGATGGCGGTGGTCTCATCGTGAGGGAGAGGGGGGGGGAGCTGATCGCACAACACCGTCTTGCGCACAGCGAAACACATGAACAGACAGGCAGACAGAGAGAGAGAGAGAGAGGGACACAGAGAGAGAGAGAGAGAGAGAGAGAGAGAGAGAGAGAGAGAGAGAGAGAGAGAGAGAGAGAGAGAGAGAGAGAGAGAGAGAGAGAGAGAGAGAGAGAGAGAGAGAGAGAGAGAGAGAGAGAGAGAGAGAGAGAGAGAGAGAGAGAGAGAGAGAGAGAGAGAGAGAGAGAGAGAGAGAGAGAGAGAGAGAGAGAGAGAGAGAGAGAGAGACGTGATAGCGGGGATCTAGACAGAGAGAGAGAGAGAGAGAGACTCTGACCCCTATACGATCGACGCAAGTTCACCGATATATGTCGTGTTTACTGACTAGGCTAACTGCCCTTGAATCTATCTAGACATCGGTACAT